AAAAATGTGTTTAAACCATTACCTATTATTTCATTGGCTTTATCCAAACCCAAAATTAAAACAAACCCAGAAGATAGATTGTTTGTATTTAAATTACCATGTCTGTTCACCATTAAGATCCAAAGCTATCCTTTGTAATTATGAAATAAGCCCAGTTGGGACCAGATTAACATTTAGACATTTAAACGGAATTGATGGCCAAATTCTGGTTTTTATTCTGGAGAATTCTGCCCCTGATCTCTCAACTCCAGCCTTGGGCAGTGGGTTGAAGAAGGGGACCTCTAAGGTCCCTTCCAACTTTATGATTCAGTCCCAGTACTACCACACATCTGGGTGTGGTAAACAAGAATGTTTGAAACCTAGGCTGTGCTTTGTATTACTTCTACTACTATTAGTGTATGGCATTGTTACATTAGCCACAATGCTATTTGCAAAGTAGTTTGCTACCAATTTACCAGCTCTGCTCATGCGCTTCCCAAGTTATGCCACAGGAGGGCAAGCTAGTACCAGCTGCGTTTTTTTGTGTTTAGGTCTACGAGATCTAGGTTGCCAAAATTGAGGTGACCACTAGATGGTAGCAGGGAGTTATAGAAATCTTATGGTTCTCTGGTGGCACTAGATGTGATGGGTATTGTTACTTCTTTGATTTGATTTGGCCTTTTTGATTGTGCTATACTCTACTTTGCATTTAATTCTTCCAATCTTATGGTCAGCACTGACTTGCTCTGTATCCCTCCCTCCCCCTCTTCCTTTCTTTCAATACAGATTGCTCATTCAGCTTTGCAGGCAGCAATTCCATATCAGGTGCATTTTCCATCCCACTTAATGTTCTGCTTTAAAACCTTTTAGTGTTCTCTAAATATTTTTTTCTCTTTTTCATTTTTTTCATTCTTTTCAGCTTTCTCACTTTTTCTTTTCCTTCTTTCGATCTTAAATTTTCTTTCACCAAGATTTAGAGCTAAATCCCTATCTTTTCCCCCACCTAGTTATATTCAAATAGACATTGAACTTAAAAAGTTGATGCCTAAGGAATTACAGATAGTCCTTGACTTGTGACCACAATTGAGTCCAGAATTACAGTTCTGAGTCATGCCAGTTGTGAAGCAGGTCATCATGTGACCGACCTGATTTCATGACAATTTTTGTGGTGCGCGTTAAGTAGATGGTCATAAATCGAACACCATGGTTGTTAAGTGAACACTGTGATCACTAAACAAACCCATTGTTCACCCATTGGTTTATGCTGGAAACTAGAAGTAACGAGGGCGCTGCAGATGGCTATAAGTGCAGCCCAGTTGCTAAATGCCTAAAATGTGATCACATGACCGGAGAGATGTGATGTGGCCTGGATGCCGCAACTTTGAACCCAAGTCATAAATACCTTTTGGGGTGTTCATTGTAAGTTTGAAAGGTCACTAAGCGAGGACTACCTGTACTCAGTTGGGAATCATCATTTCTTCCCCCCCTTATCCCTAGAACTTACCTCCACATGACCTGCGTACATTGGATAAAACCTTGTCATGATATGGGCAAGTTTAGATGTCACTCACTTATTGTGCTTGTTGAATGCGCAGAAGGGAGGGCATGTGTGCTACCTTTGCCCTTCGGATGTTTATGCATTGAGAGAAGCCTTGTCTGAGCGACCTATCATATACAATTGCAACTGCATGCATATATAGGCTTAATCTTGCAATTGTGAACCCTGCCCTGTTTGTATTCCTTGTTTACTTTTCATGGGTTTCCAGTCAGTCTTCCAGGATACTGAAGTTGGAGGAAGAACCGCTAGGAATGGATCCATTGTAGGGGCTTTAGCCAAATTGCAAATATGTATTTCTAAAAAGCTCCATGAGTAAAAAAAAAAAGGTGTCTTACTAGGATTATGCACATGGAAATCTTAAGTGCATTTCACATTCATATTTCCTAAACAGCAAACAAAACAAAAAACCCTCTCTAAAGGAAAGTTTTAATTGATAAAATGACTAAGTCCATTGAATGTGGACTGTCTTCTACACTTGCATAATTTTTAATGTAACGTTCTTTGAAAAGAGATTCTAATATTTTGGAATGATCAAATAGTACTAATAATATGTATTATATTGAAAGCTGGTGAAAATGACACTCCTATATTGGATACTGCAATATTCACTAAAGATGTGATATCATTTCTATTGTGAATTTTGCCATTGTTTGCTGGAAGTAAGCAAACAAAACTACTTAAAATTGAGTCACTGGGTAAATTGTGCAATGCTTTATAGAAATGAAGGAGACGAACTCAACACCATGTGTCATTTTCAGTAGCTTCTCTGCACGTAATGAGTTGCTCCCACCTAGATGAAGAAGACTGGTATTAGAAGATCACACCATCGTTGCTTGTTACGTCTTTCTTATATTGTCAACTAGATAATTCAATTCAGCATTTATTTTTTATTCTTAAGCTGGTACAGCATATATCAGAAGCAAGTCTAAACTTCCAAAAGGTGCCTCCTGGTTCATTGGGATTCCGTGATTTTGACCAAAATATGAATGACAGCCGGGAGGAGGATATCACAAAAAGAACACGGATAAGAAACAGGGAAGAGGCAAGTGTATTTCCATTTCATGGAAGTATAGGAAATTAAATTCATCCATGTCTAAGATATGGACGTGTGAAACTACTTCCGAATGAGATCATCAGTTCCATGAATAACTGGGTGAAGGTTATCGAAAAGACTCACGTTAAAAATGCTATCTTTGAAATTTGTTTTGGTAATTGTATTCCAGGTGATCTTTGACAATTTGATGCTAAACCCTGTGTCCCAGTTATCTCATACCATTCGGGAAAATACAGAAAATTTGGCAGAGAAAATGAAGTGAGTGTATGGTGCCAATCTACTGTAAATGGCTCTCTCGTGTAAACCGCTTATGGATCCTGGAGACTAGCATTTCATACCAGAGTTAGAAAAATGACATTGATTAATACTGGCGGCTCTCAATTTAGGAGAGAATTAAAATGGGCATTTGTATCTTGGTTAGGATATTAAGTTTTATATTGTAGTCTTGAACATGGCTCCTTGAACTCTTGGAACTTATTTCAAATAATCATGCTTGGAATCTATCCAATAATTTAAATATTAATGATTAACTTATTTTTTAAATCAATTAAAATATGCTTTCAAATGGCCAGTATTTCAGTATAGATAATTTGATAATTTGGTATAGATAATTTGTAGCATTCAGGTATACTGAAACGTGGGGTACAGAGATATACAGAGATTGTGTGATTAAATCACCACTATAAAACATTTTATTTTTATAAAGTGGGATATAAAATTCTGTTAAGTGGGTATCCATATCAAGCCAAACCTGGGTGACTTTAGAAAAGCTAATCAGGGTCAGACCTGGTTACTACTTGGATGGGAGACTTACAAGAAAAGTCATGGTGGTCATTTAAGGAAACATTTAGCTCCCATCTGAATATGATGATGTATTATTTTATAGTTGCAATAAATAAAAGCACGTATTTCTGAAGGTTTGTTTTAAACTCTGGAAGTAACAACGTTAATGTATTTGTATCAGAATTCTGTTCCAGAATACTGAGAGAACATGGGAAGAAATGGAAGCCAAAATTAATTCTGACAATGAAGTGCCAATTTTAAAGACATCAAACAAGGTGGGAAATCATTTTCTTAAATTATGTGCTTTGCAGTCTTGCTATGAAAAATATGCATTGATGAACTTGTTGGATTTATATATACAAACGTTTAAGTTTTGAAATAAATCTGAAAGTCAAAAATCAAAATGTGGGATTAGCTCAGGATTTGGATTTTAATCTTATTTCTTTTGCATATTTTTACTTTTGAGGAAGCATGCAAGTAAACATATATTCTACTGACAAAATTCACACTGTGGAACTCAGCACTTGAATTTTAATATAATAGAGTGAAAACCAAAAAGAGTTTTAAAATTGAAATCCAGTTGTAAATCTTTAAAAGTGAATTTAAAGAAAATATGTAGGTATATGTTGTTTTAAAACAAGATTGAACAAGTATGAAACTAGGTATAAATTGGTTTAATTGAATTTTTTAAAATGTACACTATACAACTGGCTTGTTTTGCTAAAGTTCATCAGTATTTAATTTTTTAAATCTAGGAAATCAGCTCTATTTTGAAGGAGCTTCGCAGAGTCCAAAAACAACTTGAAGGTTTGTAATACTTGCTTTCATAGTTTTTTTTTTATATAAATGATTAGCCTTAAATAGATATGATTAAGTTTTGAGAAACAGAAAGCTGGAGATGTTGCAATATGCCATGTGTCGGAGTGTAAAACAAGACTTACTTTTGGTCTTCAGATAAAACAAACTGTCTGCCGAGCAACTTCAAGGGAGGAGAACTATATGTCTGCACTCAAGGGGTATTGGAAGTTTCAACTGGTATAGCCATGATGGCGAACCTATGGCAAATGTGTCGGAAGTGACACGGAGAGCTGTCACCTGTTGCTCTTCCGATGATCTTCCGGTTTCTGGTATGTGCATGTGTGCTGGCCAGCTGGTTTTCAGTTACGTGGGAATGCTGGAAATGGGAAGAGTAGTCACCCGGTGCACATGCGCGTACCTGGCGGCTGTTCTTCCAATTTACAGCAAGTGCATGCGCACTGCCCACCTGCTCTTCCAGTTTCTGGCGCACAAGCACATGTGAAGACCAGCTGGCCAGCACACGTGCACACATCTCTGTGCTGGAACCCGGTTCATCTTCCCGGCACATGCATGGGCACCAGGTGGCTGTTCTTGTGGTTCCCGGCACAGGCATGAGTACCAGCCAGCTGGTGTTCGCGCATGCATGCATGCCAGAAACCAGAAGACCAGGTGGCCAGTGNTCTCCCCAGCACTTTGATGGTAAGGTTTACACAAACCCTTTAACCATGGCCTGTTAAATAAGCTAGAATAGCTGAACTGACACAAGACCCATCTATAAAGCATTGTAGTAACATGATCACAACTTGCTAAGCCACCATGTGGCTTGTTTGATTTGGGTTTAGCATGATGCTTAAACTTAAGCCCAAGAGGGGATACTTGGGCTTAACCCAGTTGTGTGGATCTCGTTTTGTTTATGTGGATGAGCCACTCTGGACCACGCACAGCTTGGCGCAATTTATGACTTAGTAGAATTTTGGGTGGGGTCAGTTTAAATGCATTCTTTAAAACTTTAAGCCAATATTCCCCGTTTGTGTGTGTGAGTGTACATTGAGGGGGAGGGCTCTGCAAAGCTTAAGGTACAGGTACCAATTTTGCCTATAAATTGCACAGTAACACAATGTATTTCCAAATCATGGCTCAGGCTACTTTAGTGATGGCAGATATCATTTCCCTTTTGGGACTCAGGCAGAGCAGAAAAACTATAGTTTGGCTGCTAGGCAGAAAAAGTTGCTCATCCTGGCTTATTGTGTAGTATGGATCTAAGCTAACCACAACTCAGCCTGTGTATACTTGGTCTGAATCTCACTGACATCCATGCACTATTTAAAGAGCAGAAAGGTACAGGCCTTTTCTGTATCTCTAGGAAAACAGTTTTGAGCATAAAAAACAAACTTTCTCCATATCCTTCTAATTTCAGGGTTTGGGGGTGGACCTTCAACAAGGCATGCTCAACAAGCCCCCATGAGATGATCCTCTCATGCTTGGTTCAGCATGAACCCACTCAACATGGGGAAAGTAGCATGTTGTATCAATAGACAAGTGTTTCTCAGTCATGACTTCTTGAAGATGTGTTTGAAGCATTGATAGTTTGTAGCTTGAAGTTATGCTGACGGGGGAATTCTGTGAGTTGGACTTCACACATCTTCAAATTGCCAAAGTTGAAAAACACTGCAGTTGACATTATGCTGAACTTTTGGTTCCATCAAAAAGCGGATTTCTCTGACTTCCGAGCTGGCCATATGGAATCCCATATCCCTTTCCACTCCAAATTATAAGATGGGAACTATCAAAAATTATTTGCCACAAATAATGGTGATATCGTAGCTGTTGCCTTAAAATTGCTGAAATGAATGTAGTTCCTGGGATATATCTTGGAAATTATAAAACACAGTTTTAGTTTAATGTAGTTTCTAGGAGAATGTAAGTAAATTAAATTGCTCCAATATTCAGTGTTATCCAATATTCCTGTGCTGGGAATTTGAGCACCTAAGAACAAAAAGCATGAATTTGTCCAACCACAAAACAATTTCTAATATTGGTGCCATCCTTTCTTGAGTCTCGATGCTAAAACTTGTTTGGCTGATGATGTGTCAAGTGAGTAGTGCAGTATTATAATTGTATTATGTCTGTCCTTTATAAACTTAAAACCAATATCAAGAATAACTTTGCAAACATTTTAAAATGCCTGTTTTTCCAATTAAAATGAATTGTCCATTTGTCAAATCAGCAATGGTTTAAATAGGATGAGACTAAGAACAGCACTGTTAACTATTTGAAATGTTTATTGATATTAGTTGACACAGGGAAGTCTTTTATAACATTCACTTCATTTTTAAATAATTGTTGAAGGCCACCAGATTAAATACAGTTGATAAGTGAATTAAGTTAAGAAATGAATACAGTTGAGAAACAACTGCAGTATAGAACTACTGTATTTACAATAATTTATTCAGGTCTGAAAATGATGGATAGTGTGGATATATCCTACAGAGCAGCGGTCCCCAATTTTGGCGGCCTAGCGGGGGCAGGGGAGGGGGGAATGGGTTTGTGAGAGTAGCAAGCCGGCCCGCAGCCAACTTGCATGAGCGGTTGGGCGGTGCACACATCCACATGCACACACAGCTAGAGCAAGTTGAGCTGTGTGCATGGGTGTATACGCGCTGCCCCACTTCTTCACACAAGTTAAGGGTGTGCGCATGTGCACCAGCCCACTGATCTTGAGGTCTGCTTCTGATTAGGTCACAGACCGGTAGTGGGCTGCAGTCCGGGGTTTGGGGATCCCTGCTATAGAGAACATATTTAAAATGTTAAATTCTAGTAGAAATAAAATTGGTTTGGAAAATAAATGAAAAAAAAAATCAATTTAGTTGCTCTGAGAAAATCTTTGCTATCCAGTTGGATTTTACTTGATTGTGCACGGGTTAAAATAATGTAAATGCTGCTATTGATGTTGAGGCACCAAATAAAAGTTGCCAGTACTTTTCCCATTAGAAACTGATCCAGTTATAGATTCATTTATACAGCTTCTGTTTAATTGTACCTGATGGTTGCTTGTAAACTTGTCTCTGAGTCATAGAGATGTCACATTTCAATTCTTACCACTCATCAAATTTTTCCATCGTCGTTAAGAACCCAAATCTTGTAAACGCATCAAAATTCTTCACCTTAACTACTGATGTCACACTAGTCCAGATTTGCCCGCACCAAGTCTACATTAGATTATCTTCCAAATATACTGTTGCAGAGAAGAGAAAGGCTGTGTTTGACTAAGCTTATGAAAAAACCCTAGAAAAGCACTTTTGTATTTATGCCATCTTCTCAGTCAACTTTCCCCAACAGAATAAATTGTAAATTCATAGAATGTAGAATTCTCAAAGTTCCCAGGCAACATTTATCTGGGGAATTCTAGAAAATGCAGTCTTAACACACGTGGAAGGACATTCACATCTGAGCATATGTTTCATAAATTTTCAAGCCTAAGGTGAGGCGTTTGTCCTAGTCCAGGGCTACATCTATGTATGAACATCCAAAGGGCATGGACATAGAAGTCTGGTTTGCTCACAAGTAGCAGAAAATACTTGGGCTTACCCTACACATAAAATTAAAAACTGAAACAAACTAAGGCTATACAATTAATATATTACAAACAGATTGCATATTACTTCTGATACACTTAAGTCAAAGAAGAAGCCATGTGGCTTTGTTATTCTTATATTGGATCCCTCTAGTGCAATTTGCATACAACCTGTTAAACATTTAATCCCAGTATGTGGTGCAACCTAGGTCCCATTTATTTGACTTTCTGATTAAGAGAAAGTCAAATAACAGGACCTACTTGCATATACCCAGTTTTGTAAAATTTAATTAAAACCTTTATATTTGGCTAGCCAGTTTCAAAAGATTACAAAGCCAAGATCATTTGAAGTTCGGTTCCACCACAAATGCGCGCACAACAAAAGCGCGCCTGACTAAACCGNGTGCCCAAAAGGTTCACCAATACTGTGGTATAGAATGCAAGCAGTTGCTTGGTGCAGATGCCATCACTGCTTCATGAATTGCACTGGTTGCCAGTATGCTTTCATCTACAATTCAGAAGGCTTCAATTCAATTCACCTTTAAAACCCTTCATGGCTTAGGACTGAACCCATTTACTAATGGGACAGTGTCCCCCCAAGTCTCTCTACCTGTCTAGCAGGAGAGGTACACTCCCAAGCAGTGGCGGATTCCGGATCCCGTTGCAATTGGTATGATGCAACAGGGCCGGGCGTCCACCACATGCGCGCAGCACACACATGCATACGTACCACCTGCAACGTTCCAGCTGCTTGGTAGAGCATCGCGCAGGCACCGTACGCTCTGTGCACGTGCGCGTAAGCCCTGATCGGCTCAAATACATGTAAGGAGGGCGGGTGAGCCCTCAGGAGCACTGTACAGGAATGGTACCTGGTGCTCCCAGCAGGCACCGGTATGCCCATACTGGGGCATACCAATCGTATCCCACCACTGCTCCCAAGTATTCTCAGTTAAGGAGTATTCCATAAGGCTTTTGAGATTTGGTTTTGTCCCCAAGCCCGGGGCCCAAGGCATATGATAAAGTCTGTCTTCTAACTACGATATGTGGATATAGTAATGAGTTGAATGATGCCCAACTACTATGCATTTTATTTTTATAGTGTGTATTTTATGTATTTCATTGTAAGCCACCTAGAGTCACATATATGAGAGGGGCAGCAATATAAATAAAATCAAATGAATATAATTCAGTCTTCACAAAGCAGTTGTTACAGAATGAGCTTTCATAGCTTTAAATTATCTGCCTGGAGTTTATGCTGCTGAAATACAGTAGTGGCCAGTATTGTGGAAACCTTTTGGGAAAAGTGTACAGTAATTTTGAGGATTGATGGCTAATAACACCATTTTCTTTTGGAGTAGTACCATAAAATTATATATCAATGTAAAGATAATTTAATCAGGAATGTAATGCAATAACTTTTATGAAGAATTTGCTT